ATATATGATGTATCCTGCACATCTGCTGAATGTAGCAATTTATAGGTGTATTAATGCCACCTAATCAAACAAATAGTATATTTAAATCTTTTTCCCCTAAAAAATTATCAATATACTGATTGAATGCATGTGGTTTAAGAGGAACCAAATCTGTTTTACAAAGGGCAAGCACAGTATGTAATTATACTTCTGATTTAGCTGCTAAAAATATTATCTTAAATCCTATTAGTTGAAGGTAATTATTGAAGAAAAGGTTACAGCTATCATTTAGTCATCTGAATATTGCTGAAATGTTGTTACCATTGTACTAAGTACTGAACCTGTACTTAGGTTCTCTTTTTCTCTGTAATTCTTGTTTCAAGTTGAAAAAAAGTATGGCTTTGATAGTTGTTGTTTTTTTAACTTATTATTTTAAAGGGGAAAACGGTTTGTTGCAATGAAAGTTGTGAAAAGTGCTCAACATTATACGGAGACAGCCTTGGATGAAATAAAGTTGCTTAAATGTGTAAGTATTGTAATAAATCCCAAGCTTTGTAGCAATGAGTAGAAGTGTGTTTCTGCCGATGTGTAATTTTGTGGCTCATTTACTCTTTAAGTAGGAACAAAATTAAAGCCACAAGGCCTTTTTAAACCTGAATTGCCTTTAAAATAAATGGTTAAAATATGAATGTTGGTGTTTCTTAAATTAAAATGTATATGATGTTCTTCATCTTTGTTTTTAGGTTCGTGAAAGTGATCCTAATGATCCAAATAAAGATATGGTTGTACAGTTAATTGATGACTTTAAAATTTCTGGCATGAATGGCATACGTATCTTTTCAATCCGTCACTCTATCTTTCTTTTTAAACAATATTAAAAACTTTGTTCATCTTTTTCAGAATATTACACTAAGTTAGTGGATCAGTTCTTTAATGTGAATGTAATTCACTGTGATGAATTATCATAGTGTGAAATAGTATAGAAATAAATATTTTTAAAAGTATAGGGATATTTCAGTTAAGATATAGTAGGTAAGAATGTCATATATACAGGTCGCCTGTATTTTCTTATAAAGCTGTAAATTAGCTTTTTATGCTTTTTAAAAAATATACTGTATATTATGGTATAACTTTTGTAATAATTTGAATATTGTTATATTTTTGGAAGTAGTTTTTAAATTTCAGATTATGGTTTGTACAGAGGCTTATCTTCTAGAATAACTAGCCTTTCTTAACAATATTGACCATATAATTTTTTTCATGTTCTAAACTACAGCAGATGTCCTTGAGTGTTGTAAATACAGCCATCAAGTTGTATTATTACTGTATAATATTTATTTTTGCACACTTGTCTGTTTTGATAACCATGGGAATGTTATTTTTATACAGTCTACTTTTGATAGTCAAAGAAATGATCCATTGTCACTAAATAAAAGACCAGCTGATTCTATAATATATCTTTATTACATTATAATTCTAATTGGTTATAAGGTGTAATTGCTACAGGAATAATTTATGTTCAGTTGGCTTATACTGGATGGAAGACAATTCCTTTTACTCTTGCATGAGATGGTTTCACAGGGATGTACTGCATGTGGTATGAGCTTAATTTTTTTCCTCACTCTCTCTTTTATTACAGAATTTTATTTAATAATCCATAGGCTGTGCTCATACTTACCTGCCCATAATGGTCAGCATTTTTAGTTTTGATGGGTCCAGTCTGGGATTATACAGTTTATCTTATATCTCTCCTTACTTTATAAGTACATTTTAGAAGAGTTCATTCTGTTTTTAATTTCAATACAATTTATTTGTGTAATGGCTCTGTAAAGATAATTGAACATGATTAAAATTACTTGCTGTTTATCCTTAATGAAATCACAGATGTCTGTATGGTTTTTGAAGTACTTGGACATCACCTTTTAAAATGGATAATTAAGTCCAGCTATCAGGGCCTTCCAATTCATTGTGTAAAAAGTATAATACGACAGGTAAGATTTCAGTACAGTGTTCTTAGAAATGTATTAATATATAGTTGTCTAGCAGAGCTTGGAGGGACTGTATTTTTAGAAATCTTAGTTCTAACTTTTCTTTTTGCAGTACCTCCACCTATTTGTAGTGTTAAGAAACTGTCCAGTAATTCGTTGTAAGTGTACAGTTATAAAATACTGAGATAAGTTAACTCTTTGAAATAAGAATGTTTGAAGAATTCCCGCCGAGTTTAGAAAAATAGTTACTGACATTCTTAATTGCACAAAAATTGCATTTTACAATATGTAGTAATAGATGAAGTGACATTGTGCTTGTCTTAGCCAAAGTCTTTACAGTGGTTAATATAGCTTGTCATACTACTTAGAGGGTATTGCTGTAAACTGGAATGTTACGAATAATTTGTCCTGCAGAACTGTAAGCAGAGATTTTTTTCCCCATTCTTAACTAGCAAGTGTAGAAGTTCATCAACACGTTTAGGTGTAGGATCTTGAGGTCAGTGGGATTAGTGCTATGTTATATTTCATCGAAGATGCAAAAACAGGTTCTAAGAAGTTTTTAAAACTGGGGGAAAGAAAACCGCTGCTCCTGGAGGCTGCAGTTGTATACAGTGGAGTAACAAGAAGCCTTTGTAGCATAACCTTTTCTCTTCTGCCTTGTTGTTGAAGATTCCCTTTTCCACAGATAGTTTGTTGGGGCAAATGATGTCATGTTTCCCCTATTTCTTTCCATCTGGGAACAAAGATGTAGGCTGGGAAGGTAATTTTGTGTGGTTCAATGAGAGAGAATAAAGCAGCATTTTTTCACTGCTCTATTCCTGTTCTTGACTTCAAATTCCAAGGCTCTCTGTTAAATAATAATAGCACAAACTCACTAGGAGACTACTACAAACACATGCATCTCCTATGTTACTTCTGACTTACTACTTACAATCGAAGTGGAGATTAAGCATGTGTAATTTTTTAATGTAATACTTTATTGTTGAATATTCCAGCTACTTTTAGAGTTACTGCTGCTTGAAATTATTACTGTATTTCTCTTTCAATTTTTAAGTTGATTTTTATTATTTTTATTGATTATATTACTGATCTCTATGTTGATGTATTTGTTGATTGCTTGGTCACTTAATGTTTTCTAAATCAATAAATCAGTTATAGCCTAGCTCTCCTCCTGTAATATTTTCTATTATGTTCAGCAGATATTTTGATAGCTAAAAACAAGAAAATCCATGTTTTCTTAATGATAGCTTAGTTCCAAGGCAGGGCTGAAGAGCCTGTATCTCTTCACATGTTCTGAACTACTACTCTCAGAACTTCTGAAATTGCCATACTGGGTGAGGCTGCTAAAAGTTAAAGTTTAGCAACTTCTAGAGGGCTATAAATAACTACTCTTGGTGCTAAAGCTATTGAATCCTAATCAGCGTGTTTTTGATGGTAATGAAATTATTCTCCATCTGAATATTTTGTAATCAGGTATTGCAGGGTTTAGATTACCTCCACAGCAAATGTAAGATCATTCATACGGATATCAAACCAGAAAACATCTTGATGTGTGTAGATGACACCTATGTGCGGAGAATGGCAGCAGAAGCTACAGAGTGGCAGAAAGCTGGTGCTCCTCCTCCCTCTGGTTCAGCAGGTAGAATTTAAGATTCATAATTTCAGTAAATGAGACAATGTTGGCTGTAACAACATTTGCTTAATTTTAGTTGATAGGAATAATACATTTGAATATGCTTAATTTGAATGTGTAAAATATTTTTAACATAGTAATGACATGTAAGTAACAATCACTTTACAATATGAAAGCTACATGAGTATATTTCTTTCTTATATACAGTACTTTACACTTGTGGTAGCTAAAGAAAGCTTAATTACATGTTTTAGTTGCATTGGGTATTTGCTGCTATGCAGAGTTTACATCAGCTAGCCCTGGCTTTTTAAAAAATAGCTTAATATCTGCAGTTGGATTTGATCCAGATTTGATATATATCTGTACTTACTAAAGGTTCTTTAAACAATAGCAGAAATGCATCTTGGTAAATGAAACCCAATGGCCATTCATACAATCGATTGTCTAATTAAAGAATTTTTATTCAAAAGCATGCGTAAAGCTCAGAAAATTAAAGTAGTTAAGTAATTTCTTTAGGGAGTAGCAAAACACAGTGAATTTTAGTTCAAGAAAATAGCAGTCCAATTTAAATAATGCAGAATAAAAATACAGAGTCAATGAAACAGTAAAAGCAATGAAAAATTGAAGAGGTACAAGAAAGTACATTGGAATTGAAGCTTGGTTGGCAGTTTTAAATGGTGGTTGGGAGCCTTGGCCTCTTGACAGTGGGTAGCAAGGTTTGTTTAGAAAATTGGTTTTAGGTAAATTGCAGTGACAGATGTGTCACTGGTGTGATGTGAGAAATGGTGTGATGTGAGGGAAAGAGCTTTAATGATATTTGGCAAGGAAAGGAATTTTACAGACTCTACAGAGCTTTATCTCCTGCTGCTAGGCAAAGGAGTAGGAATGGAAGGAGAGGAAGAACAAAATTGGAGTCCAATTACTTTAGAAGCATAAAGAATAGATCTTTGGACTGTGAAGACACTTGCCAGAGGAGGACTTTGAACAGCCCACGGGCCTGAAAGTTGCCCTCATCCTTTGTGGCTCCAGGGCCTTGCTAAAGTGGGCAGGGCTTTTTGTCTGTTTGTTCTGGGGAAGTTAGAGTGTGAAATGGATGCCAGACAGCATGGCTATGGATTTAGGCACTGTTAGAACCTCTAACCCACCCCTAGATTGGCCAACATTTTTCACTGTATTTGCTCTCCCAATGATGCCATAGTGCCACTATCTATGCCCTCTACAGCTTTCAGAGGCTGCTATGGATCCTAATCACAAACATATTGCCTACCTTGATTAGAGTGATTCTGACACAGGATGCTAATGTGAGCTTATTTCTGACACAAGTAGAACTGGATGTTGCACAAAGAACTACTGTAGAAAGGAAGTTTTTGTAACAAAGGGAAGATGGGGGAAAAAAGTCAGTCAGGAGGTTTCTGGTGTGACTAGAATAACAAAAAGTAAGGTGAGCACTGTGCAGCTGTTAAGTCCTTTTGGGTGGGATCATAGAAATCATGATGTTGCAATGCCTAGCTTAACAATATGCTTTTTTGCTTACAAACTGTTCTTTATCTAAAATTTAATTCTGCTCTAGTGCTTGGATCATTTTCTGTCACTTTTATCTGAGCATCCTAGTTTGTTATTTGAACAGGAGGTTTGAAGCTTGACTGGAAGCAGGAGGAAGTTCTAGTTCTACTTGGGAAAAGTGGAGAAATCTCTCTTGGCCTATAGTAATGTTGTCATGCTGGGACTAAACGTCTTTCATGAAGCAGTATTTCATGCATATCTCTCAAGCCAGTTCCAGTCTCCCAGGTTTCTCTGGAAGGTTGGAGGAAAAGGAGAACAAAGCTTTGTGGACCTGTTAGCATGCATTGTTGCTTGGCTAGGAATGTGGTTGCCCAAGCAGAATAGATGGGTGAACGACAGTGTTCTCATTTTGAGAGAACCAGTGAAAGCATTTTCAGAGAAAGAAAACAAAGCTTGAACATATTTGATTGGCTTAGGCCCAGCAAAACAAAAACACATCCTGCAGCTGAAATGGTAAAGTGATGTCAGTGCAAGGAAAAAATGGAGGTTGGTGCCTGTTTCATTGAGTTAGGCCTGGTAAGGCAGAAAACATCCTGGGAGGGTGACATCAGTGTGTGGAGAAGTGAAAAGAAAAAATACTATTTAGAAGATACATGACCTTAGCATGAATGACGGAAAAAATGGAGGTTGGTGCCTGTTTCATTGAGTTAGGCCTGGTAAGGCAGAAAACATCCTGGGAGGGTGACATCAGTGTGTGGAGAAGTGAAAAGAAAAAATACTATTTAGAAGATACATGACCTTAGCATGAATGACCAATTAGCTGGGAAATTCACCCTTGACTGTATTAGCCATGGCCAATTAGCCAAGTATCTTGTCTTTGGGCTATGTTTGTTAAATCAAGATTCCAGGAAAACATTTAGATGGAACTTTTTGTCTTTAGCCAGGCATAGCATTATGACATTTCTTCCAGAATCAGGGTTAGCGATTGCAACTTTTAATAAGAAAGAATAAGACAAGAAAAGCTGCCTGACACCTAGGATTCACTAACTGACCTCATTACCTTCTTCCAGCATTAAAATGCAGAAAAAGGATAACTTTAAAAGCCAAGTCTTACATTATAGTTCAGTATTTTTGCTCATATATGCAATATAATCTCCAGAAGATGCTGCAAAAGAATTGATTTGGTGGATACTAATAGAAGAGATAGGAAGATTTAGTGGAATGGGATAGGCTGTGGTGAGAAGAAAAGAATTGTTCCCTCAAAATAAAATAGAGTTAGCTTCTGTGAATAGGAGTCTTCTTTCAGTTGGTGCTGCTGTCTAACTTTTAGGGATCTTCAAACCTCAGGTGTATAGCAACATGTGCATACATATAAAATTGCCCTCTTAGTTTATTTGCCTTTGGTCCGGTGGGCACATTCTGTGTATGTTAATGGAGGTATATTGGCACATAAAAATCTTGATCAAATATAATTTGAGCTGAGTAGACAGTGCTCCTTTCTATATTTACAGGTAGTTCTTGACTTACGACCATTCGTTTAGTGAGTCTTTGAAGTTACAACAGTGCTGAAAAAAGTGACTTACGATCGGTCCTTGCATGGGGTCACTGATTGCCATTTGCAACCTTCCCAGCCAGCTTCCTACAAGCAAAATCAATGGGGAAAGCTGGATTCGTTTAACGACTGTGTGATTCACTTAACGACTGCAGCAAAAAGTTGTAAAATCAGGTGCGGTCATGTGATGCCTCACTTAATGACCGCACTGCTTAACGACAAATTTTCGGGCCCCTATTGTGGTCATAAATCGAGGACTATCTGTATTAATTCAGTGCCACCTCTGCCATAGCCCTCTCATAAACTGATATGTTGGTTTCTCTTATTTGGAAGTATAGGTAGTCCTTGTTTAGCAAACACAATTGGGACCAGCAGCTCTGACGTTAAACAAAGCGGTTACTAAGTGGGAAACCATGTGATTGTGACTGTACTTTCCTTTTCCCCACTCCCCTGCCCTTTGGAATGCTCACCCTGGCCCTGGGATAATTAGCAAAAAGGAAATTAATATTTGTATTTACATTCATTGGAGAGGAAGGGATTACAAGAGTGCAAGCAAGCACACAATATGGAATATACATTGAAAGCAATGCACTGGGCCAGCAGCCCCAAGCATGCTACATAAACAGCCTGGTGTATTCCCCATTGTGTGCCTGCTTATTCTCTTGTAATCCCTTCCTCTCCAATCTCTCCACTCTGTGAGGGGGGGAGAGAAAAAAAACAAGCAATTTCTGTAGGCAGTCTCTCCTGCACGTGACCCTTTTTTCTCCCCTTCCTCTCGCTGTGGAGAGATTGGAGAGGAAGGGATTACAGTAGAGTAAACAGGTACACAAGGGGGAATACATAGGGCTGTTTGCATAGTGCACTTTTGGCTCCCAGCCCTGAGTGTGCTTAGGGCTGCCAGCACTACTGGATTGCTTTTAATGTGCATTCCCCAGTGTGTGCCTGCTTACTGTCTTGTAATCCCTTCCTCTCCAATCTCTCCACTCAGCAAGGCGGGGGGGGGGGGGGAAAACAACA